ATTCAAATTTTTACAACATTGGATATTCACTCGATTACTCATGTAGCGATTTCTTTATTTTGTTGCAATTCAAAAACGAACAACTGTAAATACATGAAAATTTCACTGAATGTTTAAATTAGCATTTTCTATACACCATACAATTTTGAAAATATTTTGACTCTTTTTGAGCTGTTATGGACATTTACAGCTTTCAATTTTTTAGTTTTTTTTTCTATAAATATCAATAAAGTTTTATCTGTTGGGCCAAAAAGTGTAAAAATTTAATACAAGGCTCCTGATATATTGTTACAATATCAGTTGAAAAATATTAAAAATACATAGGCACGATTTTTTTTTATAAGCATTTAAAGTTGGAATTTTGACAAAATTTATCAAAATCTCGAAAATTATCAATCGTAGGAATTAAAAAATTATAAAATGTTCAGTTTTTATAACTAAGAGTTGAAAATTTAAAACAAAGATTCTCTTAAATAATTCATACTGTAACCAAAAAATCTAAAAAATATATAAACACACTTATTTTTTACAGACATTTTAATTTCAAATTTAGACAAAATTTCATATTTAAACTAAGAAATAAGAATTACGATTTTAGTTATTTTGTTGTGATTGAATAATATTATTCGTGGGTACTTGAAACTTCTAAAGTGTACTATTATATATCTATGATAGTATCACGATTTTTGTTGATGTATAACGCGTTATAAGTATCTAATGGATATTGTGATATGATTAGTTTGGAATTTATTATAGGTACCTATTATAGGTCAATTTTTTGTTTAATACCATAGATATGTATATAATATGTCTTATACATAGACTGACATACCGTCACCGCTCAGAATCGTTTTTCTTATACAATGATATTATATCATTGAATTCAAATTTAATACCATCCATTATACAGTGACCCACTTGTAACCTACTGTACAGCAGAGCGACACCCACTTGCCCACCTTTTTTCTTTTGTAAGTGAATATATATCATATATTATATAATATATAATAATTATCATATATATATATCATATATATCATTCTTGTTTTGACATAATGCGTTATGATATATTTGGTTAATATTTGACCGTGTATTGAGCAACCAACCTTTGTCAAAAAATTTGTTTATATATTTCTTCAATAAATATGAATTATGTTAGAAAAATAAACAGTGAAAAATGTATATGTAGTTTTCAAATTGAAATGCAACATTAAAAACATGATCTTTTACCGGGACAGCTAGTTATATTTATTATATTTAGATATTTTACACTATAATCTAGTACAGTACTTCTCAATTTTTTTTTGTCATGAGGCTCCCTAAATTTAATGTAAAACTGTCAAGGCCCCCTTAATCAAAATTATTAATTGTTTTTTTCTAAATTAGGTATATACTAAAATTACATGTACTATTTCACACAGATAAATTATTAAAATGTATAGTAATTTAATATACTTTTGAAAAATATTAATGATAGTATTAAAATTTAAGTATTTATTCTTTTCCATAAACGCTTAAAGTCAAAAAATAAAAATAAAAATAAAATAACAACATTTTTTACTAGTGTGTCTGGAAGTTCTAAGTACATTGAACCCTACAATAATCTTAAAAGAAAACATGAACACGTTTATCATCGGAATCGGAATTTCGTTAACATTTTTCTTTTTTGAAATTTATTTTCTGTAGAGTACATTACCATTACATGCATGTTTATATTTAATATTTTTAAAAAGGAGGTGACAAAGTCCCCGTGATAAAAAACAAAATGTTTCAAAATTATTCTGAAAAGGATTCAGCTAACAATAATAAAAAATAATAGATAAGAATGAAAAAGTTCTAATTAAATACTTTTATTTTATTTTAGGATGAAAAGGTTCTAATTCTAGAACTTTTTCTTACTTGTCAATTTATAATTTGTATTTTATTAATTTTTATATCAACTAATATAGCAAATTATAGTTTTGTGAATTAAACTATGCAAGTGGCTATATGCTTGAGAACCCCAAGAATCAAAAAAATTTTGTACAAGGAGTAAAATATTTGAACTCAAACCAAAATTACTCTCCTAAACTATTTAGAAATTACACAAACTATACGAATTATTAATTTCTTCGTCATAATATAAATGAAATCAAACTATAAAAATTTTAAATGATATATTCAACAACAAAATTATTACTAATATAATATATATACTCAAATATGGTAATTATGAATGTTTTATTAACACGTTGAGTACCACGGTGCTTATGAAGTGCACGTGCATTGTTGCAGGACAACAGTAGAAAAATTAGAGTTAGGAATACCATTTTTACTAAGTTATAATAATATGGTTTTGACCAAATATAAAATACAGGTCTAAAATCATATTTAATTATAATAACTATATTATTTTTTGTAACCAACAGCAACTTTGTAATAAACAAAAATATATTATTATTTCTGTTATTGCTGTAAAAAATCTCAAATTCGCAATAAAAATATTAAGGTCCACTTATCGAGATAAAAATATATAGCCTATAGATCCTTGGGATAGTGTACCTTTATGATTGTAAAATTTTTTTAAAATAGGTTAAGTAGTTACAGAGATTAGTGATTACCCCTAACAAACTGACTAACAATTTTTTTTCTTTATATATTACATCATTACCTATACCTACGACTATACAGGGTGTATCTTATGTCATTGTACGCGGGGTTTTTTGACGATTACGGAACGATAATATGGAATTTCGTTAAAACGAAAAAAGACGTGTTTCTTTATTTTTAACAAGCATTTTTTTTATAACAATTTCAAAATTTTTAAACACGCAGGTGTACCAATAGCAAAATCAACTTTTTTTTTTCGAACGGTCACCACTATAATTTTTAATGGGTTCTGGTAAAGCTTTTTTTTCTGAACATTTTGGTAGTCGAATCGTCAATTTTGGTTCGCTAGTTTATTAACTATGGTCCTCCAAAGATTAGTAAAATATGCATTTATACTTTTAATTAAAATAATGGGTATAATAGGTATAGGTTTAATTTACAAGCGCTAAACAATTTTTTCTTATAACTACCATTTGATACACTACAATAGTTGAATCGGTAATCTAATGACACCCTCAAAAAAATAAAAAATAAAAAATAACAAACACAATTGTTTGTAAACATACTATTCATTAATTTTATTTTAACATACGATCATAAAAATCAATATTATTATTTTAATTTATTATTATAATCGTAATTAATTACTTTACATTTTTTTCATCACAGTTATTTTTCTTACAATATCATAAATTTGAATTCTTAATTAGGTAGGTGGCTAAGGTAATAATGGTAAATACTAAATTGGTAAATGTTATACGATTGTTTACATTAATATGTGCAACGAAAAAAGTGCAATGTTTTGTGGTGCTCTTTTCGTAGTGGTATAAAGTATAAACTTGATATTTTAACCATAAATTCCCTATAATGGTATCGCATCCAAAATATGAACTTAGGAGTTGTAATTCATCCCTTCCCATCCTTTTTAGTTTTGGATATTAAAATAATAATATTGATTTTTATGATCGTATGTTAAAATAAAAATAATGAAGTAAGTTTACAAACAATTGTGTTTGTTATTTTTTTTTTTTTTTGAGGGTGTCATTAGAATTACCGATTCAACTATTGTAGTGTATCAAATGGTAGTTATAAGAAAAAATTGTTTAGCGCTTGTAAATTAAACCTATACCCATTATTTTAATTAAAAGTATAAATGCATATTTTACTAATCTTTGGAGGACCATAGTTAATAAACTAGCGAACCAAAATTGACGATTCGACTACCAAAATGTTCAGAAAAAAAGCTTTACCAGAACCCATTAAAAATTATAGTGGTTACCGTTTGAAAAAAAAAAGTTGATTTTGCTATTGGTACACCTGCGTGTTTAAAAATTTTGAAATTGTTATAAAAAAAATGCTTGTTAAAAATAAAGAAACACGTCTTTTTTCGTTTTAACGAAATTCCATATCATCGTTCCGTAATCGTCAAAAAACTCCGCGTACAATGACATAAGATACACCCTGTATAGTACAGATAATGAATTTTTTTCCTTTTTATTATTATTATTTATTTTGTTTGTATCTGAATCATTATTAGAACTATTAATATTGGCATTTTAAAACCAGACTCGACAAGAAGAATACCTTATTTCTGTGTTTAACACCAGCTAATACCTATATATCATTTGCTCCTACTCACTATGATTCAATATCTACGAAGAATGGAGTTATCGAACAATGCATTACCATATTGTAATGTATGTATTATTTAATGTCTACCTAATTATCTAAAGATTTAAATATTTAACGATCCCCTATTTGGATTAATTTTTTAAATGTTGTTCTTACAAATATTTCTGAAATCTTTAACACATTTTTTCTTCACTTTTACATTTAAGTTAATTTAATGAAACATTAATTTTCATTTTAAAGAGCTAAATTGTATAACATTTTTTTTCTAATTGACAATAGAATCGCATAAAAATGGAATGTTAAAAAATATTTCTTGAAGAAAAAACTGGTTAGGTAGGTGCAAGCTTACATGTGTGGTCGAAAACAAAGTTATAAAACGTATAGTTCTAATTTAAAAGGAACCAAAAATGTTTGCATGTTTTTCAAAAATATATTTCTATATACTACATCAATGTAAAATATTCTAATTATAATTTGGACTAAGTATATTAATATTATAGGTATACAAAATTAAATTACATCCAAGTACTTATTTTACATTTCAATTGCATAAAATTACTTTGTTTTATTGTAATACGAACACAAATACTTATAAAGGTAATAATACATAACTAAACTCTATATTGCACTTAATTTCGATATGGGTATTATTTCAAAACATAAACAATAATAGTTATAATAATAATAATGGCGTATAATATGTTATTATTTTCTATCACAGTTTTAATTTATACTTTAAAATGGAAGGAAAATAACATTTTTAATTAAATGGTCAGAGATTACAACATTTGGATTTGATGGACTAAAGGTCTAATGAGACCTACATGCTCGGCTCCTTTGGCTGGAAGCTTGTTCAGTGTATAATGTTTAATGAGATCAGGTATAGTTTCAAAAGGTCTATCCGATTGGCCCAAATAATTTCTTTCTCCAGATTGTGTTATTCTCATGTGAATAAAACCTTTAGCACTCCTGAAATAAAAAAAACAAATAATAATTATTAAACATTGCATAATTTGCTAAATTAATACCAACTTTTCAAACTTTTTAAAGTAGTATACCTTGGTTTTAAAACCAAAACAAGTGCATTTTTTAAAAAGCATAATAAAAATGATATACAACACAAGCTGACCCGTCACAGCGTCGGCCGTAATTGGTTGTTTATTTTGCCTTCGGAAGGTAATATGTATAATTTTCTATTCAGATTTTTATCGTTTAATGTGATCGGAAAGTAAATATAAAAAACGATTAATGAAAACGTATTGTAATGTTTCTAGCAGTGTTAATGGTAAATATATTTTTATAGCAGAATCCGTGCACTACATTACCCGTAAAAATCGAAAATCTTAAAAAAATTATGATTTTTCAACTACTTTTGGGTATAACTTGCTGCAGTAAGTGCAACTCAGCCACCCTGGTAGGCAATCCGAATACGTCAGATCGTGGACAAAGGGCAACTCTTTCACCAATCACCTTGGTAGGCAATGTTAAATAATTCGATTTAATGCAAGCTTATACCTACCTGATCTGCCCAAATACCCAATGGCAACCGATAGTAAATAAACACTGATTTCTACTGTTAACTGTAACCAATGATGGGAACTATTAATAAATAAAAATAAAATGTCTAATGTGAACCTCAATGTCCCTGTTAAAGCACCTCTTTAAAATACGAATTTCGGCAAATCCTTTCTTATTGCACGGTGAAAGTATTAGAAGAACCACTATTCCAAATTTCAAGTTCGTACGTTGAGTAGTTTTTGAGATACAGCGATTAGTGAGTCAGTGGTATTTGGATTTTAGGTATATAATATATAGAGTCCCTTCTCCCTCCCCTCAGACAAAAAAAATTAAAATTAGGGCGACGTGGTGACACTCAGCCACTCAGAAAGGTATTTAGAATAACTCTGTGAAAAAAAATTGGAAAAATATTAAATAGTGTCGTCACACAAATATTAACTAGTGTCGGAACAGTAAAAATACAATCCACCCTTCTCCCTCCCCTCTAACAAAAAAAAAAAAAATTAAAAATCGTGCTATGTGGTGACACTCAGGAAGGTATTTGGAACAACTTTGTGAAAAAATATTAAATAGTGTCATAAAATTGGAACATAAAAAAGGCCTGTTCTTTGATATATATATATACTAGCCTACTGATCCCGTGCACTTCGTTTCCCGTTAAATGAACCAACTCTATATGATGACTCAAACTTTGTTCAATTCGTTATTTAATATTCGGAGTATGGTGTTCAAAATTTATCTTAACTCTTCTGTTGCCTGGGATAAAAATTCTGATTCGCGGCAGTATATTATCAGGTATGCAATCTTGTAAGTAACTTTATAATTTAACTCTAAAGTATCAAAGTTATACCAAGTATGTCACTGACTCCTCCTAAACGGCTGGACTAATTATGAATGCCGAGTCTGTCGACCAATATTTCCTCCTCATCCACGAAAAAGTGTCATTGTTTTATGTACGACGTACGTAACTTACAATATGTGAGTATAATACGCTCAATATTTACGTAATTGCGATACATATAATATCAAAACACAGCGTACAATAAAATTAAATGCATTGAATGAATACAATGATTTCACGGCAACCAATAATTATAATAATAATAGCTTTAAAACCCAAGGCGACCATTTATAAACAAAAATTTCCACCATAAATCCCTAAATCCCCGTTTAAGCATATCCCCTGGTTGGACCTAGGGGGATGATTTTTGAATCTAAATTACCCGGTGCGTTACCCAAACGCATACAAAAATTTATTCAAATCTGTAAGACTGTTTAGGAGGAGTTCTAATTTAAGGTAGTATTACAATCTTTAGCAGACTGTCAGGTATAACAGTAAAAAATTTCAGCCAAATCGGTTCAGTAGTTTTCTTGGTTAACGTGGTCGTAGAAAACCCCTTACAATTTTATATAGTAGTATAGATATAGATAAACATGTGCACAGTTGACATTTTTTATGATTTTTATTAAGTTCTTAATATTTTGTTTATGATACTATGCTTTGTTTGGTTTTATTTATTATTAAAATTCCTGGTTGCATAAACAATCTCTAAATATTTAACGAATGAATAGAGAGCCCTTAAACATGATTTAGTGACCTATAGTTTTTTATTAAATTATAGTGAACCACTAAATTAATCAATTTTTTATGCATTCTGGTACTATTGTATTAGTATTGCAAATTATTATGATTTTTTAACAAGGGTCAAGGATTTTTATTTATTTCAACTCGAGGTTTTAAATATTATATTATTAATTATGTACTAACAAGTAAGTAGGTAGTAACTTGGGTTATTGAGGAAACCTATATTGTTAGAAGTGCGAGTTAGAATCACAATAACAACCAACAGTGCTAACACATCCTCAAACTTGTTAGGCATGTATAATGTAGGTAGTAAAAAGGGGTTTTTTTTAACTATATTATATGTTATGCTTTAATTTGAATGAATTTTTAATTTATGACTAAACGACATCTGTCTTTTAAGTATACTTAAGTATATATAGCATAATATATTTTTCTTTTTCCACCGCTGACGATGGCCGGGGTCCGGGAAAATGGGACTAACCAGTATCTTACACAGGATTTTTTTTTCCTAGTGGGTGCTAATAACATAGCTGCTACCTGTTTTATAACTGCATATACATTTTAATGGAAATTAAAAATTAATTTTTAAATTATTTACATCAATGATCGCTATAAATTTGCTGTTGTAGATTTTAAGGAAACACGAAAATAAACATTTTAATTTATATATTGTGCAAACAATTTCATTATTATTTTATACTTGCTTTCACGTTAAGCTATATTTTTAACTTATTATGTAATATTATCCACCTATATGTTTATTAGGTACCTAGTTAATTATCGATCTGTAATAATTCAGAACTAATAGCTAAGTAAAAGGAGAAAAAAAAATAACAATAACATTTTTTTAGTTTGAATAATTTAGATACCTAAACCAAAAAATACGATACATTTGCATTAGTATAAATGTGGTATATTAGATATGTAAGATACCTATACCGGTGGGATTTTATTTATCAGTTTTAATTTTGTTATTAACACAGTTAATACACTAATACACTTACTAATACAGTTACTTAGCTAGTAATATGTTTATTGTCTAAGCCGACTTAGTAGTTAGTATAATAGTATAATACATGTATAATATGAGCCCGGATTGAAATAATTTTGGGCCCTGGGCCAAACAATTTTAGTGGCCCATAAACATAATCAAAATATTGGTGACCCACAAATAAATATATTTCAAAGATAAAAAAAGTTTTTGATATTATAACATTAATAATATACTTCAATACGCATATTTGTAAAACAAAATTGAAAACACTAGATATAACATACAAATTTAAACGTTCCTCGCTATTATAACGTTATTGCGACGCCCAGACAGTGCTAATTGTGAAGTTATGTGACTAATATGAGTATGTGACTTCAACTGAAGACTGTACAATCTTTCGTACAAAAACAACGTAACTACTTAAATACAATTTTTTGGATCTAGGGGTCCACTATTGTTTAATATCTCGCTTAATCTGGGCTTGTATACTATTATAGTATTAGTACCTATATACATATAATTATATAAACATGCCTCAGATCACTATACAATTTCGCATTATTACTATATCAATCAGTACCTATGTTGGAGGAAAATGAAGTATTTTGACAGCGAAAAATAAGGAACGTTCCAATATTGTTCCATCATATTAGAAAAAAATGTACGATTTTAAAGTGATACAATTATTTTTGAATCATTTTCACTCTTAATATACAATTTACGTACTTAATTGATAACGCATATGATCCCTTGTTCCCTCTTACTAAATAGGTTCCTTCCTTTTGACCATGCAAAGCTTTTTCAGCTTCAAGTCTGTTCATGGGTCCGTGATACCAACTGAAAAATGTATACATTTATTAATTTTACACATAGTTGTTGATACTATTATTACTTATAATACTAATTTTAGTTACATCAGTATTAAGATTGTAATATACGTATACCTACCTATAGTTACACGTTAACGAATTCATATAATAATATCGCGCTTTAGATATTATAATGGTAAAGGCTAAATATATATTTCATTACAATTTGTATTATTCAATTAATGTAAGTATACATTTCTAATGGCTATTATATTACTTTAAATTTAAACTTAAGCTTTTATTAAATTGTATTATTATAATATTATATGATATTATATATATTAACCAATCAGAATTTAAACTTAACTAAATCTATATAGGAATTAATTTTTTCCCATTAAGTGTGTTAGGTTGGTGTTCTATGTGGGGGGTTCATTAATAGTTAATAGGCGGCATTAGGTGTTCATAATGTGCTTGGGGGGAGGGGGGCTCATGGCCCTCAGATTTAAAATAAGCACTCATAGTTTCTACGAGTATTTTATTTCACAAATCATTTGTATATTGTGGTTTGGATTCTGAATTTTTGTTTGAAAATTTGGTATGATATTTCTAAAAAAATGTTAATTTATTTGTTTTATTATAAAAATTCAATAGGAATAATTAGGTATTTTAATCAGATGATGGTGAAGCACCCTTCCCCTCCAAGGTCCGGAATCTGGAACATAAATAGTTAAGCACTCTCCCTAACTTAACGATTGTATATTTCATCTAATGTGCACGTTTGAAGTATTGCTATCAAATAAGTCGTACACTCAATCATCAATCGATGTACAATACTTCCGTGTGATGTACCTACCTAAGCTAATCTATATAATACGACAATGTCGTTATAGGTACTATTATTTTTATCAAATATTATGTTTTTGTAACTTTTTATAATATTACCTACTCTTATATTCGTATATTTATTTATATATTTTATTTATTATATTGTAATATTGACAGTATATTGAATACATATATATGAATATGGTTTATCTAGTATCTATACATGTTTATATTTTGTATATACTTGTACCTAGATAATTTATGCTACATTCTACATGAGACTATTTTGACATGCCCACCTACTTCTAGCTGATCCAGAGCACTTTGTTGCCATAAAAAATGACTTTAAAAAAATTGTATTCGTTCAACTTATTTTGGGTATAACTTGCTGCAGTAAGTGCAACTCAGCCACCCTGGTAGGCAATGTGTGAAAATTCAATTTTATGCTTGCTTGTACAGTTGTACCTGATCTGATTAACCAATGCAACCAATAAAATAATAAATACCAATTTCTATTAATTATTTCTCCTGTAAGCAATAGCATCAATTTATAAGCAAAGATTTCCATCTTAAATCTCAAAATCCCTGTTTGAGCACCTTATTGTGTTGAACTTACTGGGTCCTAATGTGAATCTAATTTCTAAATCATCCTGGAAACCACTCAAACATACACAAAAATGTCATAAAAATCAGTCCAGCCGTTTAGGAATGTATAAAGAACAGACAGCCAAACATTAATTTTTATATTGTGTATAGATTATAATATAATAAACTGTATTAAACTCACATATACCCACCCAGCTTCTCTACCTCAAATTTAAATTATTAAAAATATTAATGGAAATTAGTGATTCAACATTGAACTTGTGTGTATATTGTATGTAAATTAGCTCAATGTGTAAACCCTCCTATTTTTTTAGAAGAACATAGACAAATAATATTAAAGCATTTGATTTTAATTTTTAGTAAACAAACACTATACTAGTTTAAGTTAAGTTAACTATATGAGCTAAAATGATTGTGAATCTATAAAATACTGTAATAATTATCCGAAATTTATTATTTTAAAAAACTTGGGGACCATCTATATGACATAATGGTTGAAATATTGAATGAAACAATAAAAATAGTTTATAACTGCCAAATATTTTTTTCAATACAAATAAAAAGTAGTTATCAGGATTATGACTTATCTGAGTAATATAGTATTAATAATAATATTACGAGCGTTGTACACTTATATGAATAATCTCTTCTTCAAGGCTTTCTTAAAAAGTCGTAAAAAGTAAACATTCAACATTATAGTGGTTCGTTTAATGCTTACAAAACAATGTATTATAACAATCGTTAAGTCCTTTAAAACCCTTAATATTATCTTAATCGGGGCTTTCTTTTATAATTAAACTCATTATTATGAATACAACTTAATATTATATCAATCAATAATATAATATCATAAAATGTTGCATAAAGCCAACACCACGTAGTGATCACAAACGATCACTATCCTGCAACTTGCAAGCACTAACTACGTCCGACGTGGCTATTAACTTCAGTGATCGGACGAGAACTATTCGACGTATGTATTCAACGTGGTGTGGTTGTTGGAAAATTGTCAAGGATTAGAACTTAAAAAACTAAAACTAGAAGTCCTCAATAATTTTTAAATTAAATAAAAATAGACATTCTCAAATGTATTACATTTATATTTGATTTTATGTGACTGTTGTGAGTACAAATATAATTAATAAACAATACATTTCTTATTCTATGATCTCTAAGTACCAACCAGATTCACTTTCCTACCTGATAAGATGTTGGTGAAGAAAATGGTTAGGTCGGTATGTACATTTTAACATTTATTAGTTAATTGGTATGTACATTTATTTAGTTATAGCTAATACAGTATAATAAAACGTAACTGCATATCGTATTATTAATATGATATTTAATATTATACATTTATACTACTTATGTAAGTATTATACATTCATATAGATGACAGCGGTAGTGTACCGGTTTCACGTCATAATATGCATTTCGATTATACGAGTTTTATACCGGTATTACCCACTATTTACGGGTTTTAGGTTTCATGCACCAACACATATTTCCAACACTAATATTGGTATAATGGTATTGAATATTGATACCACAAAACTGGTATATAAAATTAAAATATCGTCAACTCCATTGTTGCGCCATCTCGTTATTATTATCGTTATTCATAGTCAGGGCTCGTAAGTTCATGCATCTGCATGTTTTCTTTGCCACACAGGAAAACATGCTAACTGAGATACAAATCTGTTTCATAACAATAGTAATAATAATATGAAGTTTGATAGTGCATGTTTTTGCATGTTTTGGGTGTAAAGTCATATTTGGCATATAGTTGATTTTTTACAGTCGTTAGTGCATATTATTTCATAAAAATATTTTTTAGACAAATATTTGAAAAGTTTCTTCCGGTTTTTGATATCTTGTTCCAATCGTCCAATATCGCATGGTAAATTATAACGGTTTTTTAAATTTTTTATTGAATAATTATTTAGCTAATTAATAAAAATATCGAAAATCAGGCTTCTTACGATTGTAAAAAAAGTTCTACTTTACAATTGTTATAATAGGTATTTTTACTGTAAACCACTTCAATAAGCCGTATTACTTGAATTACGAAACCATGGTCTTATGCCATATTTTGTCTACTTATGCGCCCTCTTGTTGGAAAACATAAAAAAAACACTTATAAAATATATATTACTAAATTATCCCAAAATGAAAAACCTAATATTTCATTCCAAATGTTTTCATTGCTGGTGCTGAATAAGGGTGTACACAAATTAGACAAAATTGACTACCTAATTAAAATTTATAAAGATGACAAAGCTATTTGAACTTCACAAGTATTAATTTTATTTTTTATTTTATTAATTTTGACTGTTAAATATATAAAAATTAGGATGAATAAAATACTTTTAAAATGTATGGATTTATTCTTATTATTTTAAAATTTGGTCATGTTTTTTTTACATAATGCATATTTTGAGTGCATAATTTAAAAATGTTAATGCATATAAATGCATATTTTTGAACTTTTAAGTGCATATTTTAATGCATATTTTGACAATTTTTAGTGCATGAATGCATGCTTATTTATGCATTTTTTAGTGCATGAAGTTACGAGCCCTGTTCATAGTTAATATCCAACCCAACCTAGTTATACGCTGAATACTGTGTCACAATATTGTAATCATGAACTGAAAATCTATCATGATATTATATAAAAATAAAAGGTACCTATACGTGTTAAAATTTGTCTTAAAGAGAAAATGGTTGAATTCTTGAAAAGATTATAGTCGATTGTCTAGTATAGAGTATAGGAGTAGGTATACCACTCACCTTATATATTTTATTGTTGTTCGATACTAATATACTATAGGAGCAGCTTTACGTTTGGTCGGATGAAAAAAAAATTAGACAATCATTGAATGAAAATAAAAGTTAAAGGCAGATATTATAGAAGCTCAATAAATTTGTGTAAGGCAAGCAAAAATACGGGTAAAACTAGACAATAATAAGGTTTCTGGTTACCGGTTTTCAAATTGTATAATATTATTTGTGTGGAGAAACTCTTCATACAATATCATAAGTAGGTACTTATTCAGTTATTCATGTTTTAGATTTTTTTTTATATTAGAACAGTACCTATAGTTTATACAAATATTCATGAAGCACGATGATTATTAATTAATTAAAATATTAAAAAAAAACCTAAGCGTGATATTTTTGCATATTATGAGAGTGTTAACACGAAATTTGGGGTTTGATTATGATAGTATATGCTGCTACTGTCCCTCAAGACCTGAAAATCTGATACCTTAACAATATATAATATGCTCCTTTATAGCTACATTTATCTAACATTAAATAAAATAAAATAATGTAGTTCAAAAATGGAAATAATGTTACAAATTGTACTTATTTGATGACTATATTTTTTACAAGTTCTCGGAATAGATAAAAATTCAAATTAGACATAGCGCGTTGTACATTTGATTATTAATTGACCATACCACACACTTGTCTTCAATTCTCACACAAATCATGGGATGGGGTATATGAGAAAGCCTGCAGAGGTTTCAATCAGATAATACAAATTTTAAACAATAGAAATCTATCTCTAAATGTTGATAAAACTGTGTTTATGCCATTTCCAATTAATAAAACAGATTATAACTGCAATACTACAGCGGTACATGGCTGCTTCAATAACAAAATATGTAATCAGGAAAACTGCAAAATAATTAAAATAGTTGGAAAAATTCGATATTTGGGTGTTATCTTTGATAACAACTTAAAATGGAATTTTCATATTAATAATTTATTAGGAAAGCTACGTTTTAAATTATATATATATATTTATACTATTATAAATAGTTATTTAGAATACGGTTGGAAAAAGTATTTTTAAAGTATTCCGAATATTGATATTACACATATATTTCAACAAAATAATTATTAGAATAGTTTGATTTATTCGAATATATATTTTGTATATTAAAATACATAATATTATATTAATATGTTTTTTAATTTATTTAGTACCTATATCTATAGTATAATTTAAATTGTTGTAGGTATTGTTTCATGAAAACACTACGTATGCGCATTTGTTTTCAGTTAACATTTGTGTTTTTAATATCATCTATATTGAAAATAATAAATATCTTGTACAGTTTTTTACCATCACAAAAATGCATTAACGTGATTAAATTATATTTTAAATAACAAAAACGTTATTAGTTATTACTTATCCTTAGTTTGTAGGTCATCATTGTCCATTAGTCATTATGGAATACAAAAAAATAATATACTTAGCTGTAATATATAATACAGCTAATAGCGATATGGTGTTTTAAAATAATCTATAAATAACCTTATTACTAAAAAAGTTAAAAGCATAACAATGTATTAAGAGGACGCCACACCCACATATTATTTTGTCGTTTCCGTCTTTACAAACGCGTAACAATGTAACATACTAACATAGCAAATTTACGTTGAGCAATTCATGTTTAGTTTCGTTAATTTGGTTTGAGCAGCTGATCTCGTATTCTCGCTGTACAGAGTATAGATAAATATTTAATTATAATTTATCTTAGCTAGATAAATAGTTCGAAGTTATCTAAATAATTATCTAAAATAAAAAAATCACCTAACTAAAAACAAAAAATATATAACATTTAAATTTGCTAAAAAAATATTCAAAGTAATAATAAATAATAAATATGATTTATAATTAAGTAAACTGTGCTATGGACAATATTTACATACAAAGAAAATATTAGATTAAACATCAAATGATTTATCACAAAATTAATGTACCTAGTTATTAAATCATCGTGTTTCAATGCTTCACTTCACTTTGACATTGTAGTCGAGAACATATTTTAGTATATATAGCGTACATGGTACATATAATGGCATTATGTTCACTACTTAGTACTTATACTACTAAAAACAATTAATATAATATTCACCCTTCTGATATGCAATTTCTTGTTAAATTATCTCGATAATTGGATTATTTTTAATTATATTTATATCTGATAAGTGATAGGTACAATATTGTCTGTATTACAGTAATAAAATCAGTTTTCAAATAAACTGGCAGTAAAAATGTACGAAATAGTAATATTATTAATATTTTTCAGAAAACTAATAATATGTATTTACATATTCCAACACAATAAGTAAATATTATGAATCATAAATATGTAATATAAATACCTACCTAGTTATTTGATTAATTTTAATTTTTAGTTATTAATTATTATAGTTTAAGAGATCTCTACACCAGTGAACCTTTTTAGATTTAGTGGGGAGTTGTCGAGGAGTGTGGATGAGATTATATGTGAAACAAAAGGATCTTGTATTTCTTTATCTTTAGTATTTAAATATTTATTAATAATTAGTAAGTTATCCTGTGACATTTTATTTTTCCACATTATAAATAATGATATACCATATACATATCTTCCTAATAAGTAATAGGTAAATATATTTTGTATAATGTCTTACACTTCAAAATCATAGTTTTAATATAACACAAAGACTCACCATTGCTGATCTAAGGGTAAAGAAACGTTGATGTCTTCTACAAAATGTAAAGGCTTTATGTTGCATAAACTTAATGTTGGACGGTTTGGTTGATCTAAAAAAAATATATATGTATAAATATAGGTTTATAGTCAATTTATACTTTATAATATTATTAACTATATAGATCTATAGACTAATATTGTTTAAATAGGTAAATCACAATTTATAATAATTGACTCGTTAAGATAAAATCCATAAAATAACGCTTAAAATATTTAAACGAATTTTCCGGTGACGTCATATTTCTTAAATATAATTTATATTTGTAACATATTATACTTAATTCAATGGCTAATCCTACCTATAACTATAACGATTTTTGAAGTAATGAAAAATAAATTTAATAAGTTTAAATAAATTTGAACTATGTTTTTATATACAGTTTACTATTTACTTCATAGTAGTTGATATTTTCTATTATTTGAGTAAGAATTATATCATTATTAATTTTATAAATTTTGTTTCAGATAAATTTTAATTAATTCTTAATTTAGTAACTAGTCACATATTTGATATTAATATGTGTATTGGTTTTAATTTAAATTAATTTAACATAAGTGCTGTATTATATGAGAATTATATAATTAGTATTATATTTCAATTAATTATAAAATATAAATAGTGACCCAAACACTTTAAATATTATTCAAGACCAGTTTTTGTTTATTGACATTTATTGTTTATTTAGTCATATTATATTTTAATAGAACCGGAAATTTCAATAAGTACCCCTCCCACAATATATTCGGTACCTACTCGATTAGGAGATTTGGATTTCTGGTTGAAGTACTAAATTATTATTGTAGCCTGTAGGGTTTACATTCTAGTATTCTACACTATATTTAAGAGGATTACTAGGGTAATCCCTATACTATTAAGTATTAACTATTGTAGAATTGAAGTACCCACCTAGTAATTTAGTAAATCACTAAATAATACATATATATTATATATTACATTAATACCAGTATTTTAAAAAGGTATTTAAGTAATACTCAAATACTATTTAGAAGTATTTGAAATAATCTTAAAATACAAAAAAAAAATTCTATTTAGTTCTGATACAATTTATTATAATCAAAAATTTGTTTATTGCATTTTTAAAACATGATTCGTTCAATAATCTAAATGTGGACCAGTCATGTAAGTTCTTTTTAGTGATTGGACCACAACAATGAACTTTTATATACAGAGAGTATAGGTAGGTATACTAGTATATTAGCTAGGTATATCATGTATTTTGATATAAAATACCATCATCGATCGTCATCGACGATAACCGATGATGATAATATTGAAAATAATTTTCTTGGTAAATAGGTAGTACTAATAATATTAGTAATAATATTTTCGTGTTTTTAAATTATAAAGTATAATAGCTGTTCAGAAAAAGCTTATTGCATAATAAATATTTTGTTATTGACCTAATAATAGCTAATTCTGGTACCGAAGTACCGTTTCGATCGTCTTCGACGATAAACTGTTACTGAAGAAAAATATATTTAATTAAGCTATTCATCTACGAAAACCGATATCGAATTGTTAATTTGTCCATAAATGATAAGTATAATATATATTGTTATAACTTATAACGTTGAAGGATAACCACGACGGCATGGTATTAATATTTAACAAGGATTATAAATAGAAACAATTAATTTAGAATTAAAAGAATAAAAATAAAGTATTCGATAGTAAAAAAAAATATTTAAAATTTTAAAATACTATTCAAATACTTCAAAATAAAAAGTATTTAAAATGTATTCAATACTGAAAAAAATATTTGAATACTTTTACTCAAATACTTTACAACACTGATTATTACCTATATTTACATATTGATTTTATATCGTATACATATTTTAAGATGACAGTTTATGATTTATACATAAATTACAAACATTAATAGATCTACCAACATTATTTCAAATATACATAATATAACTAATATATTATGTATAATGTATTAATGTAGGTATAGGTACGTACACTACAAAGTGTAGTGTTATGTAATATTACCGATAGTTTTCTACAGAATTATACTTTGGATTTGAATCACTCTGTGTATACTTACAATAATATGGCATATACCCAGGGTCATAAAATCATTCCCCTCATCATACATCCATGAGTATTTTGATCCCTACTTTTTCAGAGAGGGGTTATTTTACACAAGGGTGAATGTGAAGCATTACGATAGTATAGGGTGTCCAAATAATTTTCATAAAACTGTACATAAACGTTCAGGTTTAGACACTTTATTTTTGAAATGACTATTTTAACTATTATTTAACATATTATATAATTTATATTTATTATGTTTATTGCTGTGGGAGATGGTATTTTGGGCTAATTTTATTACTTATAATTTGTGGAACCAACAGGTACATTTAAGAGCGTACCTATGTAATTTGCGCCAAAATATAAAAATATAAAATGTATACATATATTGCGCCACATCTAAAAATTATTTTTTTTAAGTTGCGCTACGACAGAAATATATATGGAATATATAATCTGGGCCACACTTTCAACTTCAATTGTTGGACTTTACCAGCTGATAAATTTTAATAAATATATATAAGGATTTCAGACAAAAGTAAATTGATAAAAAAAAGCTTAGTTTCGTCTTTAAGTTACAAGTATAATAAAAAAAGGAGAGTAAGCTATAAGTATTAATGTAGGTATTATAAGTATTATATGTATTACTAAAAATGTATTTGTTTTATGCATGTAAAACATGAATAGCATGAAAAACAATTTATTTGACATTGAATAATTATTATATTACTATTTGATCCCGTGCACTTTGTTGCCCGTTAAAAATGGCAACTCTTAGAAAAATAAAATTATGATTGTTCAACTCATTTTAGGTGTAACTTGCTGCAGTAAGTACAACTCAGTCACCCTATTAGGCAATGTTCAAAAATTCGATTTTATACATGCTTGTATCTGATCTGCCCTAATAACCAATGGCAACCTGCAATAATAAATAAATACTAACTTCTACTTATTTTATATATTCTAATTTCTAACCAATAGGCAATAGCGACCATTTATAAGCAAAAATGTCCACTGTAAATCTCAAAATCCCCGATAGAGCACATCCTCGGATGGGGGGAGAGGGTGAAAAATACTTTATGACATATTCTTATACCTACCAAAAATACAAAAAAAATTTCATCCAAATCGGTCGAGCCGTAACGGAGAGGTTCGAACACTAACACTGGGACACAAGTCACGAGATTTTTATTTATTAGATTACCAACAGAAATTTTATTTATTTAATATACATAAAGTACGTGGGTACTATATTGACATACATTAAATTTATTTTACTTTATTTATATTTTAATAATTTTCTAGAAATTTAACTATTAAAATTAACTCGTTGATCAATGATTATAAATATAATATATTCATTTATTAAAAAAAATTGTTTAGTTATTTTAAAGTGACGCAAACTACAACCTTAAAAAGGGGCGCAAATTACATACACATATTTTTGAGGTTTATTTTCGGTTTTTCTTGGTGAAATTACATACACCAAACTTATAAAATAAGTTTGTGTTTTAACAAGTAGGTTAGGTACCTACCTATAAATACTATTTTTTTATCATTACAGACTTTTTTGTCATTTATTTCCATATATAATCGAAATAATGTTGATAAATATCGTTATTCATTGTATAAGCATAACATAATAACTATAAAAAATTATGTAGGTAGTAAGTTAATAAAAAAACACAATGTTTATGTTAATCAAATTTACGTTATTATATTATTTTATACTATCTATGTGAAATTAAATTAAAACCCAAGGGATCATATAATATAATTATTATTTAATTAATTAATTTAATTAATCAAAAAACGATGTTGTATTATTATGATTACAATAAACGTCATATCATGTGCGCTACTATTAAGACTGAGTATAAGCATTAATTAAATATACATATTTAATTAATGGTATAAAACATAATTGTATTGTATATACTTAAACAACTACCTCTCTAATTAAAAGTTTGTATATAAATTAACTAATAATAATAATATGGTACTTATATAAAAAAATTATAAATAACCATATTATAATGCGTCCGTTCAAAATGTACCTAATTCATTAATTATATTCATGATAATATAATACTATAGGTAACACTTACTTTTGTTTTGGAAGGTTTTCGGCAGTTGTTTATTATTTGCGTTAACAGAAGCACAATTGTTGGGAAGCACATTGAGAAACAAGGTACTCCTATCCGGTTTTTTTTCGCCATCGTTGTGTAAATTAATCTTCTTTAATTTTGGTATGTCAAATGGAAGGTCTTCGAGCTGTTCGCTTTTAGTCCTGTCGGTCGGATGTCCGACACCGGAACGAGCACTGTAATCCTCATCGCTGCCAATCTCGAAGTCTAACGATATGACCCTAGCACAGCTGTCCATCTGCCTCTTTCTAAGATTCGGCATGTCGAACGACAACTCAACACCACCGGGACCGCAGCCGGCATTCGTCTGTCTTCTCCTCAATTTCGGCATGTCAAACGGAAGTACCTGCGGCCGCGGTGGTGCAAGCGCCGGACGTCCAGCGCAATCCGAAGACGACGATGACGACGAAGATGTCGTTGACAACACCGTAGTCGGGCCCTCTTCGGATCTCTGCCTGCGCCTGAGCTTTGGCATGTCGAACGGCACGTCCAACAGCTCCTGGTAGTTGTCACCTGGTTTTGATCCCACGGATATGCCGCTGTCAGAACCGTGATGCTGCATATGGTCGCTGTTGAGCTTTATCAGGCCTAATGATTGCGGTGGTTTGGTCTTGATCGGCGCGACCGCTGCAGTGGCGGTTGCAGTGGCATTGGCAGCCCCGACGACGACGGGAGCGGCGGAGCCAGCGGCAGACGACCTCCGGTGTTCGTAATCCAAAAACTCGTTGCCGGCGTCCTGCGCCGACTTGTCCGAGATCGGTGACAGGATGTGTGGTACCGGAAACCGCTTGTAACACGGTGACTCAGAACTGTGTGAGCTCAACGAATCGCTGGTGATTGACTCCAGACTGAGGCTGCTACTAGTCACCACGCTGTCTGAACTCCGGTACTTGTAGATACTGTTTAATTTTCGGCCGCCACCGCCGCCGCCACTACGTTTCTTCCGCAACAGGAATCCGAACAACCGGTTTTTGCATTGCATCCTGCTGGACGGCGAGGCACGAACGGTGGTTGCGGTGGCGGCAGCGGGGACGGCGTCGTCTTCGTCCTCGTCGTCGTATTGCCGAACGGAACTGGCGCTGGCCGACAGCTGCAACTGGTTGGACAGTCGGTGAGCGATGGCCGAGTCCTGTTTTTCGGCCGACAGCAGGTCTTCGTCCGATTTGCTGATTTTTGAATCAAACGCGGTCTCGTAGAACCGTCGGAATTTTTTAGACATTTTTCATTGCTGTGTCATAACGTGCTGCAGAGGTAGAACAGATAAGGGCCGGGGAGGCAGCATCTCGTTTCCCGAAATCGCGCCGAAAAAACGGCGACAGCTGTGACGATGGCATATAGGTAGTTAAGTGCAATATGGTCCGTGGCCTCGTGGCGCGATGTATACCGCGTCTTAACTACAACAGTTGCAGCTCGCCTAATACCTAATACGTATAATAATATATTTTAATGTATATAAACACGCGCGCTGGTACACATCACCTGGTGGCCGGGCGACGACGGTTGCGACGCGCTACGGGGTAGTTACTGCACAGACGCGCGAGCGTGTTTTCGCAAACCCACGCACCCGCGCCCGCGCTAGTGTTACGTGGGAAGAAGCTCACCGGAGCGGCAGGCGTGCGCGTCTCGCCAATCGATGCGCCGACGCCGACGCTACCGCCGAAACGCTATAATAATACCGACAAGTCTCCGCGATGACTCACGCTTTGGGAATTCAGAGCATTGATCCTCGCGGCGGCGTTAGGGGTTGGATTCCATAGGATATATTATACATACATACACCTACAGACCGCGCGAGACCGAGCGTCGCCGTTGCCAAAGTCGGGATATTCTCCCGGTAACAAAGCGACCGAGCTGTGTCAGCTGTGAGTTCAGCAGACCAACCATCACATATCTCTGTGTTATGTAAAAAAAGCTTTTGAAAGGTATTCCATATATTCCACTATAGCCTCAAAAATGAAATTGAGTATTACGGAATTACTTTGAATGTAAAAAAAAATACACAAAAATTTATAGAAAATCTATTGGTTATTTTAGATCCTGCGCAATGAAAATAGCAATTATTGTATTGGTCTTACAATGATATTTTTTGGTCTATCATCACTTTTTGGGGGCAGTAAAATGCTTAGATTTACTATTTCAGCATATATTCTGGTAGGAAAGTGAATCTAATTTAGGGAGGAGGGGTTGAAAAAAATGTCTCATTAGTTTTAAAAAGCGTCAGAAAAAATAATATAAAGGAAAAACACAAATTTTTACGCATAACCAGTTTTTGACAAAATTGATTTTACTTTTTTCGCTGTTATTACCTATGTGCTTTGTAGCTTTATTTGTTATTGCGGTTTTACCGTCACTTTAATGGATTCGCCAATTCAAAGCCCGGATTATGGGGGGGGGAAGGTGGTCACGGTCCAGGGGCCCATTGATTTTGGGGTCCATCTTTATCCCCAAAATATATTTTATTAACGCGTCCGATACAGTTTTCAAAAAAAAAAAAAATATTATTTAAGTAGGTAGGTATAGTAAGTAAATTATTATTAATAATAATTATAAAATAAAATTGTTCTCCATGTTATACCACGAAAAATTACTATAAATAATGAACTACCCATGTTTGCCATCAATTTTGTTTGTTTTTTTTTTTTTTTGAGCATTTTAGATTATACCGATTTAACTATTTAAGTACCTATACAAAAAGGTAGTTGTAAGAAAAAATATTTAGCTTTTGTAAATTAGGTATTTCAGTTAAAAGTATTAATGCATATTAAACTAAACTTTAGAGGATCATAGTTAATAACCTAGCAAACCAAAATTGATCATTTGACCGTCAAAATATTCAGAAAAAAAGTTTTACCAGATCCATCAAAAAATATAGTGGTTACCATTTGAAAAAATATAGTCGATTTTATTATTGGTACAACTGCGTGTTTAAATATTTTGAAAATGTTGTAAAAAAATTGCCTGTTAAAAATAAAGAAACAAGTCTTTTTTTGTTTTAACAAAATTCCACATCATCGATTCATAATTGTTAAAAAAAATCCGTGTACAATGACACACCTGTATATTTTTTGTATAGTTAAAAATTATACAATAATATAAAGTCGTTAGATAATATGTAATGATTCAATTATTTTGAAAGGGGGCCCACTAAGTGTAAGGTTTTTTATTAACAACAGTTAAAATAAAAATAAATTCGAACATTTTTCTTACATAAAAATAGCTCAAAAAGAGTTAATAAATATTATATTTTGATAATTTGATCTAGGTGAAATCTGAAAAGAGCGAATCCATTAAAGCGACGGTTAATATAGCGACGGTAAAACCGCGATAACAAATAGAACTACATAGCCACATAGGTAGGTAATAAAGCGATTAGGATTTAAGATTTTCGCAATAAGTATAGGTATATAATTATAGTATTTTATTTTATAGCCTTATAAAATTTGTTTAGTTAGTGATGATACGTTCAACATTGTGTATGACCTAGGTATTTTATGTAATATCAAATAAGTTATTTACTGTGTAAGTAACATATTAATTTAAAATGCAATTTATAAAAAGTAACAAAAATAAGAATTTGTTAGTATACAAGTGTTAGATATCTACATCACTCATATAATACCTATAGAGTGGATAGAAAGACAGAGGAAACAGTATACTGGAGATGTATAGTTAAAAATTGTAAAGGCCGGATTACTATTCGAGGTGAGTCAATTTTTTTCCTGAATGTCCCTCATATCATAATATGCCTACTTGTCCGTATGAGACACAAATACTTGAATAATAATATAATGACCATTCCTGACCCTGAATAGGTAAGCATCTAAACTTTACAAACAATTCCACAAAATGTGTGTTTTAGTATTAATGGTATCTACTTTAAAAAAAAGTCGCTCGGACAAAGTTTCGAAATTATGGCCTTCTCTAAAGTTAGCGATTTTTTGTTTATACGAATGCGCGGGACACTATACCTACTTTGTAATAAACAAAGTATAATATGTTTGTATAAAACAAAAATAATGAACTAGGTAAATGTTTTCCAACTTTTTTTTGCGGGCATTTATTCTAAAATTGAATAATTAATGTTGTTTTGTAGAGTGTGTCATCAGATTACCGATTTAAGTGTGTAAAATTATATGAAATTGCATTAAAAGATAATTAAAAAAAAAATTATTTAGCTCTAGTAAATTAAATTTATACCAATTATTTCAATTAAAAATATTAATCAATTTACTAAACTTTAGAGGACTGTAGTTAGTAAACTAACGAACCAAAATTGATAATTTTACCATCAACATTTTCAGAAAAAAATCATATAGTTGTTACCAATTGAAAACATAAAGTTGATTTTTCAGTTAACAAAACTGAAGTTTAAAGATTTTTAAATTGTAGGTAATAAAAATATTACTAGTTAAAAATAAAGAAATACGTCTTTTTCTTGATTTTTTGAAACTCCATATTATTGATTCATAATCATTACAAAACCATTCGTAATAATATAATAAAATATATTCCACCTGTTTGACTTGTTAATAATATTTAAAGATAATAAAAGTGAATACAAATGAAACAATAGTTTTATTAACTATAAGTACAGTGGAAAATGTATTAATAATTGGCTGCATAGGTTATACATCACTATTTAAGCTAATATCAAGCACTTTTAAGCTAGAACAAAAATTAGAAGACTCGTTAGAAGTCGAGGTAACATTTAATTTTTAAATTTTTGATTGAGGTTTATCTATTGTACTATCATCATCGTTCAATGTCCTTGTGGATTTCGGAATATATTTATAAGCTGGCTGTTCATTTTATTTTAATTTAATAAGTACCTAGTCAAATTTTAAGCAAAATAAAATAAAAATGTATTTGGGTTATTTTAATAGTGTAAATAGGCAAAAAAAAATAGGCAAAACGGATTACCTCGATCGGCTCGGCCCCTCACTAGTCACTATACGTCTACACAGTTGCTGTACTGTACCTACTGAACACACCAATACATCGTAATAAATTAATACCAAAAAATAACATTTATAATCCATATTTATTATCTCATATCAACATCGTCAAATTCATGACGATTGTCGGCAGTGAACGGCCAGTGACGAACGTATAAATAACAACCATTTCGGGAATATTGTCTATTATTTACTATTTTAAGTCGTCGCCCGAATAAGCAGAAGTCGATAAGCAGAAGGAACTGTGGCCACAAATCACAATTATTCACCTCCAAGGAATGAATTATTATAAACACGTATTAACTCTTCATATAAGTGTCTAATAAATAAATAATCTTTGTTACAAAATGATTTCATTTCGTATCATTTCGTAATATGAAAAAAACACAGGGCAGGCCCGGGCCTACCAGGCCTACCCCCTGGGCACGCCACTGCGATGTGAGATAATGGTTAAATTAATAATTTGCTTCATGAGTGTACATATAGATAAATTGAAATCTATCCAGATGATTAATCGATTGTTTAGCAAAAGAAAAAAAATTCTGCTAGACTTTATATACTATACACCAAAAACACTTCGTTGTAAAAAAAAGCTAAGTTAAAAAAAAAATTTAGTAATGATTAAATCTTTAAAAGACGTGATATAATATGGAAATTAAGTAAAATGACATTTTATAAAATTACAAATACCTATGATGACAAATAAGAAGGTCCGTCAGCCTTTCACCCCGAAGTCAAAAATTCGGGGTCAAACCTAACTAAAAAATTAGTAACCAATTAGTCACAATTTGTAACCACAAAATCAGAAATTGTAACCTAAGTCTTAACACCAAAATTATTTATTTTTTCCATATGGGGTGCAAAATTTGAAATTTCAACAATAATTCAAAATTTCGAGGTCAAACCAAACTAAAAAAGGTGGGTAAGTGGATGTCGCTCTGCTGTACAGTAGGTTACAAGTGGGTCACTGTATAATGGATGCTATTAAATTTGAATTCAATGATACAATATCATTGTATAAGAAAAACGATTCTGAGCGAAGACGGTATGTCAGTCTAGGTTTAATACAAATTATATACATATCTATGGTATTAAAAAAAAATTGACCTATAATAAATTCCAAATTAATCATATCACATTATCACAATATCCATTAGGTACTTATACACGTTATACATCAACATCAACAACAAACCCTGATACTATCATATATATATAATAGTACACTTTAGAAGTTTCAAGTAGGTACCCACGAATAATATTA